GTTAAAGGATTGGAAATGGTTAGAACAGTCTCTCATTTCTAATTGAAATTGATGATCTAAAATGGTCGGAATATTCCCACCTTTGTAATCTAAGTTAAAAGATGCAAAATGATCATAATATTCACACATTTGTATAAGAGTCATCAAAATCTAAGTTAATGGATTCAAAAAAATCAAAACATTCCCACATTTGTAATCAAATTTAAAGAATCCAAAATAGTTATAACATTCCCACAATTATAATCAAAGTTAAAGGATTTAAGATGGTCATAACTCATAACATTCCCTCATTTATAATCAATTTTAAAGGATCTAAAATGATCATAACATTCCCACATTTGTTATCAAAGTTAAAGAATTCAAAATGGTCAGAATATTTTCACATTTGTAATCTACATTAAAAGATTCAAAATTGTTGGAACACTCCTACACTTGTATAGGAGTCATTAAAATTTAAATTAAAGGATCCAAAACAATGAAAACATTTTTACATGTGGAGTCAAACTTAAAAAATCCAAAATGGTTAGAACATTTTTCACACTTGTATAGGAGCCATCAAAATCTAAGTTAAATGATCCTAAAATAGTCAGAATTTTCTAACATTTGTAATCAAATTTAAAGGATCCAAATCGGTTAAGACATTTTCATATTTGTAACTAAAGTTAAAGGATCTAAATCAGTCAAAATATTCTCATATTTGTCTTTTGTAATTGAAGGATCTAAAAACAGTTAGAACATTCTCCCATTTGTAACAAGAGTTAAAGGATCTAAAATAGTTAAAGCATTCCCACATTTGTAATCTAAGCTAGAAGACTCAATTGTCGAAACATTTCCACATTTGTACAGGAGCTATCAAAATCTAATTTAAAGGTTCCAAAATAGCATTCTTACATTTATAATTCAAGTTAAATAATCCAAAATGGTGAGAATATTTTCACATTTGTAATATAAGTTAATGGATCCAAAACAGTCAAAAGATTTTTACATTTGTAATCAAAATTAAAGGATTCAAAATGATCAAAATGTGTGTGTATTTGTATATGGACTACAAGCAACAAAGACATGGAAACTCCATGCTAAAGAGCAAAAGTAAACCCCTATAATTATATTTATGCACATTTAAATTAGGCATCAAATGATAGAAACATTAATGAGCCTAATAGGAGTGCATTACATATGCAAGTTCAAATAAAATAACAAGGACATATATTTAAAAAAAATATTGTAATTTTTTTATATATGTTACATAGACTACTTCAAAAAGTTTCAAGACATCAAGGTAAGAAAAAATAAGGCATCTTAGCAAAGTAATGTTCAAACCAAATGTCAATCACACTTTTCCCACTAAAACATTCAAAACAAGTATCAAACAATGCAAGAGTCATTTATTTAGAAAGTCAAATGTACAATTGTAACAAATCACAAGGTAGCTTTCTATTTCAAGTTCAATAATCCAAAATAATCACAATTTTCCTACGTTGGTATAGATCACAATTTTCCCACAATTGTGTTCCAAGTTCAAGGTCTCAAAATGATCAAATTTCCCAAATTTGAGTAGGTCATAATTTTCCAACATTTGTATTTCAATTTTATTGATTCAAAATTGTGACAATTTTCCCACATTTAAAATTCAAGTTCAAGGATTCAAAATGGTCAAAACATTTTTATATTTGTATTCCAAGTTAATGAATCCAAAATGGTCACATTCCCACATTTATATAGGAACTGTCAAAATTAATTCTCTAGCACATCATTGGACCTAATTTGTCAAATATTCTAACAACAAATTAAGATAATTACATGCATCTAAGCTAAATCTTCACCACTTTCCAAAAATAAGTCAAGACTATCAAAGAATCTTTAGGAACCATCCTCTGATTCAGAAGAGGATTATGTCTCCAATAACTGCAATGCAGCCTCTACACCATGCTTATCCACTAAGCTATTTGTTATTGCATACAAATAACTAATGTTGAAGTAAAAATGACGTTATAAACTAAAGAGTGGATGATTAAGATTAGTCAAGAACTTTTTGAGATGAAAATGATTGACATAGAAGTTACTTGAAAAGCTGAATTGTTCAACCCTACAGCAAATACAGAAATCAATGTTTCTAGACAAGCCACTAATGCAGTGATGCCCAGGCTTTACAAAGAAGAATAGACTTTTAATGAAATGGCATTCATATTTAAATCTCTAAAATATACATCTAAGGCTGCTCCAAAAACACACACACCCCCCTAAGGCTAAGGAAGATTCAATGTAGAATAATGCATCAGCGTCCCAAAAAATTCGTAATTCCAAGCAATCTTGCGACGGTTAAAAAAATATCATCATACCCATCTGAAGTAGTGGTATCAAAATCAGAAAGTTGAAACAAAAATAGATTTCTCATGAAAGAAAGTATAAATCTCTATGGCATTGCCTTTAACTACAAATTTTCCCACTCATTTTTGTTTAATCCAGGCAAAGATTCAGTCACAGGTAATGTCACATTTTCCATTGCCTCTTAGTTATTTAGTAGAAGTGGATTGAAAAGTAGAAGAACATCTCTATTGACCAAAAGGCAACTTCAAAGAAACCTTACGTCCGAGGAGACTATCAGGTCTCATAAGCACCTCAACCACCATTTCCTCTGGCATCACATGTCCAGATTCCATGTTCACTGAGGGTGACCACCAAGTGCTCATCACTAAAACAGAACCACTTTCCTGTTCATGTTGCTATCTGAGCCGTTCAAGTAAAATCAAATCCTGGACATTTGTTATTCCCATTTGTTCCTTCTCTTTCCTAAATCTTCTCCCAGTTTCTTAACATGTTCTTCCATATGATAAAATTCATGACAGCATCGTTTATGCAGAAAGCACCCGCTGCTCATCACAACCACTAAACATGGAATTTGAATGTTTAACATTACATGTTTCACACTGATATCTTATCAATGTACATTTTCAGGAATAAGTACAAGACTAATACTACCTTGAATACTAGTTATTTAAAAATGAGATGGTAAATTATTACTTCACACTAGTATCTCAAAGATTTCATTTCATGCAATTACAATAGGGTTAATAACTAAAAAAGTGAAAAACCACACTGGGAAGTCATAAGTTTCATGAAAAGTTAACAACACATTCTAGCTTTGCATCACTATCTCCCTCAATTGGCTGCCAAAATTAAGATACTTTTGCATTTGAAGACCTGGAAGTATAAAATTCCTAAAACCATCAACAATTGTTATTACTATTTTATATCATGTTAAAATCAATTATGAATGCAAAATAATACTTTAAAAAAAATATCTAAACACCTCATTACACATGTTAAAATCAATTATAAACTCAAAAGTGAAAACCATTGTCTTTTTTTTAATATACAAACACTTCTAAACATGCCAAAATTAATTTGGAACCAAAAAACATGATTTGTAAATGAATTATGCTTTTTTTTTTTGTTAAAATTTGTCAAATATGTTTTTGGACTTTGTAATGACTGTTGGGTTTAGGGCTTCCTTAAAAGCCGCACTATTGGGCTGGCTTATTTTCATGAGCCTAATTAGCTGGCTTATTTTCATAAGCCTAATTAATAATATTTGCTTGCTTAAGTACACCGCTACTATGCGTTGGCTTATTTTTGTCATTATTATTGATATTTGAAAAAATATAACTTTTAATCCCTACACTTTATTCAAATTTTATTATAGATTCCTACGACATTCTAATTCTCTATACTTTTATTTTTTTGACATTTTAAATCCCTCTAAGAGCAGTATTATAAGGATCTAGAATGTTGAAAATCAAAAGTATAAAAACCTAAAATGTCAAGAAAAAAGTACAGGAATCTATGGCAAAACTCAAGCAAAATGCAGGTATTCTAAATTATGTTTTCCCTTAATATTTTAATAATAACTAATAACAATAAAATATTATTACTATTTTATACTTGCTCATTCAAAAATGTAAGATATTTTTTGAGGAGTTAGATGTTCAAAAATATAAGATATTTGTAGTCTTTTGAGGTGTAATCATTATCTTTTTTTTCAAAAATGCCCCTATTGATAGTGACTTTATATTTATTATAGTGTTTAATATGAATAAATATGAAAAAATAGAGTTAATTTGATAGTAGGTAACTACTTTATTGGAGTGAATTCAATTAAAAATATCTTACATTTTTAAACGAAGGGAGTATCATATTAAAATCAATTATGAATCCAAAACTATGTTTTTCCTTAAAATATCTAAACACCTCATTATATATTTGAAAATCTATTATAAACTCAAAATCAAGGGTTTTTTTTTTAATATTCAAACACCTCTATGCATATCGGAATTAATTAGGAATCCAAAAATATGATTTGAAAATAGATTGTGTTTTTTTGTTTAATAACTTTCCAGTATATATATATATATATATATATATATATATATATGTATATGTATGTATGCATGCATGTATGTTGGCTTTGAAAAGACCGTTGGGATTAGGACTTGCTTAAAAGCTGCTACCACGCTAGCTTATTTATATAAGCATAATTAATAACATTTACTTGCTTAAGAAAAACGCTCCTGCAAGCTGGCTTATTTTTATAAGCATAATTATTAATGATATTTTTATAATTACTAATAATAATATATTATTATTACTATTTTATATCTTGTTTTTATCAATTATGAATTCAAAATTATATTTTTTTAAAAGTATTCAAACACCTCATTTTACATGTTAAAATCAATTATAAATTCAAAATTATTATTTTTCTAAGAATATTCCGACACCTCTATACAAATATTGTTATAAGTGCTCTGAGTTGTGAGACTTGTCATATGCTTGGTAAGCATTTAAAACCTAACTTACTTAAACTTCCATTTCAAATGCTGAAAAAATTGACACAATAACAGCATGCCAACTAAAAACCCAATGATTTAATGTATTGATGTATTCTGATTCTTTTGTCTCCGCCTATTCCAACCCCACATTTCAGGCAAGCATCAAAACAATTTTCGAAGTGAAAGCTAAACTGGCATTTGGCAATTAGCGGATTCAATTAGCCAGGAATGATCAAGCAATATTTTCAAACTTTGCACTCCAAGATGAACTTTCCAAGCTTCACTCTTTGCTACCAAACTATAGTTCCTAAGAAACTGGCAATGCTTTATTTAGTTCCAAAACCGAGTCTCAAACCATGTAAGTCATGCCAGCCTGTATCAAACGTGTGTGGGGCACTGTTAAATTAGCAGTGCCCCTCCTGCAATTCTTTCTCAAAAAGGCATAAAAGTAATTTATAACTAGCTTTTTGATAAACCATGAATCCTTCCTTGCCCTTATATCCCCATGACCTAGAAGATAAACAACACCAGATTCTTTAGCCTTGCGCATAAGAGACAGCTCCCTTTCAAGACTCTGCTCTGCATCAAGAGCAGGAAGATTAGAAGATGCTGGGCTCATCTCTGATGTGCTGGCAATGGAAATGGGGTTACTTGTATTATTGTAGTTAGCCAGGAGAGGAACACTAAGGGAGTAAACGCTCCCATTGGGCGCAATGAGAACCCTAGAATACTCATCCTCTGAATCACTATCATCCCTGTCACTTTCCAATGATCGCTCCTGAGCCTCTCGACGAACAAACTTCTCTAGGCTCTCAATCAGAATGTGCTCAAAAACCTGTTGATTTTCTTTCAGCACATCTTTGTAACCATACCTGTAGAGAAGTTAAAAGTTCAAGTGAAGGAAATGCGTGTGTTATTTCTCGGAGCAATACAAATTAGTAGCGCTTCATAGTTCATTTACAAAACACATCCAAACTTTCTATAGGTTAAGTCATTTGTCCAGTGCCTTTAGATTTCACATTTACACTGACATAATACAAAACTAAGCTTGTTACCTGGCAATACAACGAAAGATATGGTAGCCTCTTGAGCAGACTCGCCGGAAAAGGAACCTTTCACTTTGGGGCACCACTGGAACTGGAACATTCTTGACACACACAAATATAATCATGGAATGTATTGCTGGAAGCGTGGTCAGAAAATGTCTGAAAATTGATGGAATTCCTTTGGCCAACTCATTGTAAATCAAACCGATGCCAGGTGCTCGTATTGTTCCAAGATTACAACCTAATTGCCGCATCAAATCCATTGATAACTTTTGCCTGACTTCCGTTTCATATTTGAGCTTGCTGCCATAAGTCCATACATACATGATAAGAAACACCGTTATGGCAAAGACCAAAATTATCCAACTTCCATCTGTCATGCTCAACAAAACTGATGAAAAGAAAGTTATCTCCAATCCCAAGAAGACTATCATAAAAATAAGCACTTTGATGATGTGCGTCTGCCATATGAGAAGCATAATGAGGGAAACTAAAACAGTGGTCATCATCATCACTCCGACCTCCACAATGCCTGAAAATTGGGGCGAAAAGAAATGATGCCTGAATATATACAGCAAGCCAACCCACGAAGGGGGGAAAGAGTGAAATAAATGAGAAGTAAAAATAGTTTTCTTTCTTCCTTTCCTTCCTTCCTTTCTTCCTTCTTTTATTTTTGGAGTGGGGAAGCAGAGCAGGAAAAAAAAAAGGTAACTTGAATACCTAACACCTAATGAAATCCCCCTGGGGGAATTAACTCATCCTATCAGGATCACATTATTATTCTGTTTTACAAACTCAAATTAAGATGACAAGTTCTGCTAAGGTTGAACAGTTCATGAGAGAATGACGTTCAGATTTACTATATCATTAGACACGGGTTTTCAGTCCATTAAAATTTGCCTATGATGCTAACTTCGATAGGAAAGGTGAGATAGCATTTCCCATAGGCACAGCCACATACACGAGACAATTTATAATCATACGGACACAAGAAGGGTGGTGGTGATTTTCATACAATCCCAGACCACAGGTTTCTGCAAGCAAATTCACTCCTTGGCAAAGCGCCAGCATATTTCTCTCAACCACAACAGAGGGCATGCTGAAGAAATTACTAGAGAGAATTGCAATCTGCTTACACAAACAAATGATTCTAATGCTAACTATCCTATGTTAATTTTTGAACCCAATTTTGCCATAACATTACTACCGAAGACAGATGATTTATAAGTAAAAAAGAGTTCAAAGCAATTACCATATGCATTTCCAATGTCTTCGATATTGGACATAGAACAGACAAGCACCAGTGAAACAGCCAAAAGGAACCAGTTAAGAACAGGGATGTAGATCTGACCCATAAATTTTCGAGAGGTATGAATTATTTTAAGACGAGGGAAACACCCAAGTGCAATAGATTGTTTTATGCATGAAAAGGTGGCAGTTGTCATAGCTCGACTTGCAATTATTGCAGCAATGTTAGCAATGAGGAAAATTGGCCAGAACGCACCACCTGAAGACAGATAATAGTATAACAGAGATCTGTTGTAAATCGTCAAGACAGCCATCTGTAAAGAATGCAGGACAAGGAATAATTGTCAACACTTACTTGGAATAGAAGCGAAAAAAACATGGCCAGCATCAGCATGGTTCTCCATCAGGTATGCAGCTTGACCCAAATAACCCAATAGGAGGCATGGCAGAACAAGAAAGAAAAATGTAAGCTGCAAACAACCAACATCAATTCCATTACAGAAAAATTAGCAAACAAGAAGAGAAAAAGAATTGTGATAAAAAAGAAAGAACCCCTGAGATACTAATAAGCATAACAAGATGCTGGCTTTTTCCTACTCCATTACCTGAACTGATTGTACAGAGAAGTAGCAAAGATCTGCAAACATGGCCTCAGCACCTAAAACATTAATCAGTAAGAACACTAGGCAATAGTTGAAAAGTTCATGTAAATGCTACCAATAGTTATTCACATTGAAAATTCACCACACAATAACATCAACAATCGACACAAAAGGTTGATGAAAAAAAAAAGAACAAGCACTAATACTAACTATGAGAAAAAATTGTTCCCAAGTTCCATCAATATTATGCTTTAACTGTGAAGTGTTATCTACATATTCTAACAATTAATCTTCGATTTTTATTTTAAAACAGAGGCTGCAGGGCAAAACTTTTTCTTCAAAACCAAGGGCAAGCTTCATATGAATGTTTTTGAAGATAAAAGAGGAAACAGCAAAACATGTCATCACAATTTGACAAAACACCATCTCAGTTGCGTTGACATATCTATAGGTCTGCTGAAAATACCCTTAATATGGACGTTCACATAGCCAACTACACTAATCATCAACATGGATTCACAGTGAAGGACTAGGAAGTGGCTCGGATTATTCACTCTCATTGAACTATTCCCTGAGATCTGTGTGTGAGAGGAAACTTGGAACTTCAGAAAAGTTTGAGCATAAAATTCATATAGTAACAATGATATTAAATCCCAGATAATGTTAGGGGCCTTGGTTTGTAATTCTATGTACGACGTGTTAAAAGTTCCTTGTAGCAGAGGCTTGTTAGCATCTCATTCTGACCTAGACTGCTATGATTCCTTCCACCAATAATTCATTAGAATTGTGACTCATTTTAACCCAGCCTACTGTGATTTCCATCCAGTAGTGTCTTCTCAAGGTAGTCATTCATTCCAACCCAACCTATCGTGATTCCTTCAAACAGTGACTTGTTATGGTTGTGACTCATTCCAACCTAGCAAACTGTGAATACTTCTAGCAGTATCTCATAAGGGTTGTGACTCATTACAACCCTCAATTGATCAACAATGATCAACCTTATGCTTAAATCTAATTCAGATGGTTGTTATGGTGACACATACCAGAAAAGTTTTGACGAAGCACTGAGTAGTATCGGATAATGGGAGATGTGGGGGAGTTAGAGAGATATTAGGAACAATTATGATTTTCAAGATATTTTAGATATTATCTGTTTAATAATATTTTTTTAGATTATTTTTCTGTTTTGTTGAGTGGTCCTTGAGTTTAGGAGAAGTGGGTTATGGAACTTAAAGATTAAGTTAGAATTTATATTTATTTATTTATTTTTAAGTTAGAATTTATATTTATTTATTTATTTTCAGGAAGTGATTCCCCATTATCTTAGTCATGGATTAATGGGAGTATTTTTAGGAATTATTAGTTATTTTTCTGTCTATAAATATTGAGGCACATATCCTGTAGAAAGCATCTGTAAATAAAATCATTATTTTTATAAGTGGAGATTCTCCTTTGGCTTTATTAGTTGTATGAGTTTAAGATTCTTGATCATCTTCTATTAAAGATTTTCCTTCATCTTTATTAATTTATGAAGTTAGATTTTGATTTCATATTTTAACAAATATATATCTTTCTTGTTTCTCTCTACCTATCTGAGATCATATCAAGTTCCTATTGATACACAACCCATTTCAGGGTACCGTGTCTTTGTTAGTGGTAACCTAGTGTCCTGAAAAGGGGGAAAAAGTCTTTTTTTTTTTTTCAAGGTCTAGTGAAGAAGCTGATTATCAGCTATGCCTTTAACATGGATCACAATAATGTTAAGTACATATGCGTGGTATGTATGGATGCATGTGTACGCATGCACGCATGCATGCATATCCACCTGTATAAATACATGCTATTTTGTTTTCTGTTAGTCCTTTCTCAAATTTTACAGCTCCAAACTGAAATCATGTATATCTGTATCTCTAACAGCTCCTAAAGCTTTGGAATCATAATGAAAAGGTTTCACAAACTATACAGGCACTACGTCTAGTGAGAACTTAACCATCAGTTTCCCAGCAAGCTGATTTTCCAACTAAAAAGCCTTACCAATAAACTTCAAGTATATACATAACAAAGAGTCCAGAAACTTATATTTAGTTTTCAACCTTTAACCAAACATTAAGTCTTCTCCACCATAACATTTGAAGTACTTTCCACCATGAAAAGAAAAAAAGGTTAAACCATCTTTTGATTCTTTAAATCAGAAACCACACATCTTCCTTCCAATCAAGCTAGAAAAATTGGAACTCTCAACTCTTCTATTTTTTATTCATGTGTTCGTAGATCCTGTTTTCAATCTCTTACTGACTCAGTTAGCCAAGAGAAACCTGCTTCTTGGCAAGGCCGTGTAAGAAACTCAAGCTCTGTTGTATAGATAAGGTAGAGAAGAGGGAGAAAGAGAGGGAAACAGTGTAACATCCTAAATTTTTAAATCCCTAATTTTAAATAATTAATGAAGGATAAGTAATTTGGTGTGTAAATTTGATATAGGGATGGTTTAAGATGACTAATAGGCCTATTGAATTCGATTTACATCTTTTGGATTGGGCTCAAAAATGTATTAGGCTGCTTGGGCCCAACTAGAGGAGCTAAAATTGGGCTTGTTGTATCTGTGGTGGATGGCTTGAAATCAGAAATGATTCGGCGGGAGCTCGCAACAGAAAGAAAGAAAGAGGAGGAGCGATAGGATCATTTGGCACTAGGGACCATTAATTGTGCAATGTCTCTAATTAGTTTTGTGTAATTGAATCATAAATGCCAACTAGGATTCATATTTTGATTATACTTGAGTCTTTTATTGTGGCTTTGTAATCTGTGATATTTTTAAGGCCCTAATATTGTTGAGATGACATTGTTTGATTTGAATTGGGACAAATATTGATTCAAGTTGGTTTATGTTGTATGTTGGTGAATTTAAGTTTAAGAAACCTCACCCCCCTTGTTTATGTTGAAGTTTGGGGTTGGTGGGTCAAAATGAGATAGAAAGTGGTTTTTATGTTTGTGGTGCAATGCATAGGTTGTCTAGGGTCCAATAAATGTGGTTGGGTATTATGGTAGGCTTTTGGCACTTGGTTGTAGTTTTGGACACCCTGGATGTGTTAAAATGGGAAAAAGGGGTTAGTTCGATTCCAAGTGTCCAATCTAGTGATTTGTTAATATTTGAAAATGAAACTAATGCCATTAGCTAGTTTAATAAATAAACTTTCTGTGGACATTTAAATCACCTCATTCAGACATCGAATGGGGATTTAGGTTGCACCAAAAGTTTGGCCACCAAATATGGGTTGATAACAAATTGTTGTTGTGTTTGCTATGTGGTGCGCCATGGCAATAGCGCCTTCACTGCACTGCATGACACAAAGAGAAGAGTCATAGTATGCATGTGTGCTTCACTGTAGCGGACTACCTCTGTGATGTCAGCCGCAACAGACACATCATTGGCCAAAGCGAACAGGCCTGGTTTGAGAAAATAGGCTTTTTAGCCCCTACTTCCAATTGTTTTCAAACTTTATAAGTTTACCATGCTTTCAAATGTTTTTAAACTCCGATAAAATGCAATTAGCATTTGAAAAGATTTTGAAATGAATTTTTATTAAACTTGGGATCTAAAGCAACTAAAGGTTTTTATATTATTGAATTTAGTTTCAAACTTTTCAACCATAATAGGCTTTAAATTATTGATTTTGTTCTATACTACTATAGTAGAGCTAGTTGAAGTGTTTTAAAGCCAATTTTACCATAATAGGATCTTTTCTACCATGGTAAAGATTTTTGAAGGTTTATAATAATATAAGTTAAATTTTATTAACTACAGTAGACTTTCAAATGAAGTCTTTCCCTTTTCTATTATGGTTAAACTATTTTCAACTGCAGTTGAGATTTTTCTACCATAGTAAGATAACGGGGTTCAATTACCTTCTAATTACCATAATAGTGTCAAGTAAGTATGGTCAAGTTTACGGTGATTTTGGAGAATTTACAAACAGGGGAGATAAAGAGAGAAGGGAGAGAAAGAAGATAGATAGACATGAGAGAGAAGAGAGAAACAGAGTGTAAAGGGACTCATTTCTTTAATACTCATAAGTCTAATCACAACCTATCTTGCCCTTTATTTGTAGCCTAATACCCTTATCAACTAACTAATCCTAACTACTTAACTAACTTCCTCTTTATTTGTTTATTACACATCAGGCTCCAACTACAGTCATGTCATCTGTTGGTCAGTGGCATTCGATAAGATCCTTACTATTGAATATTGATATGGTGCGGGTTGAAGAACAAAAATGATATTTTACTGATACGTACTAGGTGTATGTCTGATTCTAAATTATCAACACAACTGTTTCTAGGAGAGTATTTATCCTTCAACTGTAATCCATCCATCCTTTAATAATAAATTCATTATTGAAGTCTCAGCTGACTAACTTATAATCCTGTCAAGCACTTTAATCGGAACCTTTTCTTTGCTACACCACATAATGGAAGATTCCAGCTCATTAGACCTCAAAATTATGACAAATCCACATCAGATGGTTAGAGTTGATGAAAACTTAGATATTGATCACATCATAAACGCTAACATTGTATAGACATATAAACAGAGGGAAAAAGGCTTACTAGTAGAAACAAATCTACAAATATCCAAGACTAGAGAAAACATATATTATTGCATCCCTAACATCAATGGTCATGCTTTTGCATGTTTACCAGATGCGCACAGAAGACAGCCACCTAGAGAATACCATGCTTTAGTTGAACTTCTCTCAAATAAGCTATAGATGTGAATTGGATTAAATGCCCTCAGGACGCTGCTGTCATATTTGAAAAGATTGTAAATCCCAATGCCCGCAAGAGAACAAAACCATATCAACAAAGCTGGTCCTACAAGAAGTCCCACTTTACTTGTTCCATACTTCTGTACACTGAACAAAATGACAAGGCAGGCAACTGAAATCACGACCACTTCATCTGCATAATCAATGGACAATAGATAAAACATTAATTCAAAAATGAAGTCTCCATAAGAGAATCAATCAACTTAGCCACATGCATTCAAAACCCCCCCCCCCCCCAAAAAAAAAAAAACATGCAAAAATCCAAAGAAAACAAAATGTATTCATTCACCTACATAGAAAATGTGTTAGAATGCACCCATGAACAAGTGGAGTTACTCTATTTTTTAAGTGTTTTTTATTTTATTATTTCTCAAGAAGATTGTTTGTTAAAATATTCTCTGATCCATTATTTTCCTATTATTGCTGAATATTAGTATAAGGCTGGTTAATTTTTTACCATTTAATTATCGGATTTGATAGGATACTATTAGCCATATCCTGCAAGCTTCTCCGTTCAACAACAAGAACATCAAAGAGCACATAACCCAAATTTTTCACATGATTCAAAGGCTTATTAACATTATTTTTTAATTAATAAACATTATCATATTAGGTTTTTTTTTCCTTATGTTATTTTAGGACAACTACATTTTACATTTTAATAGTTTTTATTAGAATAAGAATATTCGTAGGTATTTTTGTTCAAGACAAAAGTTCTAGATAATAGGAATTTTCAAAATACTTTATCATTAGCTTTGAGGCTTATGGTTATTTATCGTTGGGATTTGAGTGGCAAGGTTTATTGGCCCTGATCTATATATGTTGAACTATTTTCATTCAATAAAGTTGAAGTCAGAAAATCAATCAGACATAACATTTAGCCAATTTCTGCAACTTGCTGGTTTCAATCAGACATAAAAACATTACAAAAAGCATAACTTAAAAAGTGAGGGAAAAAAAATCATTTAGCTGATTTCCGTAACCTGCAAAATGACATGAAATTGAATGAGATGGCAAACCCACAGATCCTATTACTGACAAAGGACAGGCTAAAAGAATTCAGTCCAAAGAAATGCAAGTCTGAATTCTCTGGACGTTCCTACAGACGACAACGTCAAATATAGGAATTGATGACTGCCACAACTCAAGAGTTGATTGATAAGTAAAGGCAATACCTTGCTTGATTGCATCTATCCTCACCTTCAAACCACCAACGGATGACATTACTGCAGTAAGAAATACAAGTAAACTAAGAACTGGAATAAAGAGCTAAACAAAAGGTGGAGTCCCTGAGAACAAAACTTGACCATAAACACAAGCAATAAAGTACCATTTCAAGTATGGTACAAGTACCAGTTGAAAGTCCACACACTTATAAATATAGAAGTCTGGAAAAGTATCAAAAATACATAATCTAACATCATATAATAACCTGATATTGCTGGCGTAACAACTCCATTAGCTATTACCATAGATGTACCAGACAGCACTAATGTTTGTAAAAGCTTCTTCAGAGTCAATGAAGTTTCGAGTCTTTCCTTGATTTTTATTGACCTTTCAAGCTCTGGGGTTGGCACCTTTAGCGTAATCTTTGATATGCGAGTGTCTGATGGCAACTGATTCGGAAGAAGACTCACCTTAGCATGGCGACAAATCAAGGAGTACAAGGCAAAAGTACCACCTGCATTGGTTTGGAAATGACTATGACATTGAAATTGAGGACCAAAACATTAAGAGGGAGGGAGGGAGGGAGGAAATAATAGTATCTATTATACCTTCACCATTATCATTAGCCCATAGAACGACCAGGACATACTTCACGAGAGGAAATAAGATTAAAGTGTACAGGACAAGTGATAATGCCCCAAGAATGTCTTCATTTCCATCGACAGGGGCCTTTATAAACATGACACTGAAGGTATATAAGGGACTCGTTCCAACATCCCCAAAGATAACGCCAAGGGTCTGAATAGCCACTAAAATACTCCTTCTCAAACCCAAATTCTGCTCTAAGAAAAAAAAATGAAGATAAGATGAAAAAAGCTATAATCTGCATCTTGTTCTACATGAATTTACAACTATATATTTTTTCAGTCATGCAAAATATATATATATATATATATATATTTAAGCAGTAAGTAAAAACTGAGAGCAAGCCATGTAAAAACAGAGCAAAATAGTTTGCATCAGTGAATTACAGTCTTAAATTCATAGAATCCAGGAACTCAACAAAAGGATTTAAAAACACTCAAGACTTATTTGGAAATGAACAAAAGAAATAACTCAGATACTCGCAAAAATAATTAGATCCCAGAAGGATAGAGGAAGTAAGCACACGGATTTATGAAGGTAAAGATGAGTTCATTGCTCAAATGACACAGTTCTAAGATTAAGGTGAGTTTGGTGTCAATTCTGCAAAGATCAAACCTGGTTACTCTGAGTCTTTGTCTCTTGAAGATCCATCTATACAATTTTAACCAAACTATACTCAAGTAACATATGTGGAAGAGCGTCGTTGAGGCAGAAAGACGCGTCATTGGTTAACTTAAGTAAGCTCATTAATAACCCGTGGGCTTTAAGTAGAAGAAGAAGCTAAAATGGAAAAGGAAAACAAGCTATTCATATCTTAACTTACTTTTCATCACCAAAGATGCTTAAAAGGACGTGAGAACTGCTTAGTAGACTTAACGAACTTCCACATTCATAGAAAATTGAGTAAGAAAAAGCCCACAAAAGAAAAAAGTAATGCAATTCGTAAAAATTAAATCAAGTCCAAATTACCTCACTGTCATTCCTCTGAGTACTAGAGACCTCAAGAGCTTCAGCATGGAATGAATCGATTCGTGCGCCAGTCCTAACCAGCCTCTGCTCGCCGTCGTCCTCGTCTTCCGAATCCAACATAGCCTGATACCGCGAAAAATCGCCATCCTCATATTCATCTTCATCGCACTCACCCTCCAACTCATCCTCTTCCTGGAAAACCCACCTGGACTCAATGGAATCCATGGAAAACCCGCCATTGCTCTCACCACTCCCCAATCCTCCCACCTCCACCATCGCACAGAACGGGAAAAGAAAGCTTAATCGCTAGGTTCAAACGTTGAAACAGGCTTAAAATACATCAACATGACCAGAAAGGACTAGAAAATATTAGAATTTGCCATGTGAATCAAAATTGGGAGAGAAAACCAGCTGGGCTTCTGTGATTCAGTGTGCCACTGTCGGAGTCATGCCGTATAATCGCATTCAGCTTATGTTGGAGATCACGCTCTCAAGGACATAAATGGAGCCCACATGTTGGTTTGTGTGTCCATCACGCAGCTGCTCTTCGAGTTGAAAGTTAAATTTTGATCGGACAGTACCCGAACAAGGGCGGTGGCGAACCATATCAGATATGAAAAATTCACACGATCTATATATCACACCGAATTTGATCCATCGCGATAGAGATAAAAGTAGAGAGAGTAAATGATCAGGTTTCAGCCTGTGAATCCAGGTCTTGAAACTACGCCATCTTCAGATAAACACGAGTGAATATTTGGGGACATCCAGTGTCATCGGTTGACAGTTCGGGTTGACACGAGAATTCCTTTTTTTTTTTTTTTTTGCCCTTTTGGGTAAATTGACACGAGAATCTTTACTTTATATTTATTCCACTTACCACGTGGTGTGATTTCAAGAAGAAAGAAATGAAAATAAAATGAAAAAATAGCAGTGACGGCCATTAAAAAAAAAATTATATCAATCAAAATTTAATTGTTTTCAAAATTTAAATAAAATAATTGTTAATTTAAAATAAATTATTATTAAAATTTAAATAAATACTTGTAAATAAATAACTAACTCAAATCAATAAATATTTATTTAAATTTTAATGATAAGTAATCCTTAATTGATATAAATTTTTTTCAGCGATCCTTAATTGATATTTGCTCAAATAAAATCCTTAAAATTATATAAATGATAATTTAATATTTAAAAAATATCATAATTTTATTAGAGAATTTAAAAATTTTTGCATCAATAATTTTTAAAATAAAAAAATTATTTTACCCTTATTAAAAATAAAGGTCTCAATAATAATTTTTATTTAAAGAATAATCACTTTTACTCTGTAAATAAGTTGAATAAAAAATTATAAATTGTCAAGTGTAATTTCTATTATTAAAAATAAATTTTTAAAATAATAAGCGACAACATAATTTTTGTTTGAGGAATAACAACTTTTATTCTCTAAATCATAAAAGTTGAATAAAAAATGATAACTTGTCAAATATAATTATTTTTTATTAAAAAATATGTTCTTAAAATAACAATATCTAATTACAATTTTTCTATAAAATAACAATTTTTATTTAAAAGATCACAAAATTGAACAAGAAATTGCAACTTGTCTATAAGAGTAAAATAGTCTTTTTAATTTAAAATTTATTGACACAAAATTTTCAAGAAATTTTAGTAAATTTATGATATTTTAGATATCAAATTATCATTTATGTAATTAAGGAGATTTTATTATTAATTTTTCCTTTCAAAAATTAAAATGAAGCAAAAACAAAAATCTTACTTAATTTCCCCGCTATTTGGTACTGTAAAACTTTGGGCATGTTGTTCTACACTTTTGGAAGAAACTAGTAAAGTACCCGTACTTTGCACGGGCCTATATTAAAGTTTTTATAAATAAATGTCAATCTTATAGAAAAATCTTTTTTAAAAGAATAACTTATAGCATATCATATTCAATACTCTATATCATCCTATACATAGCGGGATTATATAATTATCATTTTTAATGTTAAATATGCATAATAGAGTTAAGTAAATACAAAAGCTAAATGAATGTGTTGTTAATGGATACGATAGGAAGCAAATTAACAAAATTGCATAATTAATTAGACAAATTATTGAAGATTTCCCTATAAACAATATTAAAAGTTCTGTCTATAATATATGAATTAATTATTCTCATCAAAAACCAATATTTTTAAAACCTCCATGCTTCAAACACAAGAAACAATAATATAAAATTGACTATGCATGAAAATAGGATAAGGCAAATACAAACTAATATTACACAAGTTTTAACCCTGGCTCTTATAAATGTCATTACAAAGGTTAATATAATGGAAAATTGCATCCTTCTTATAGCAAATAGAAACCTAAAATTTGTTGGAGACATAACAATGTGTGGTATATATACTTTTTGTCTTTATAGTTGACTCAAACATTTCTTAGGCCTCAATAATATGTTTTCTAATTGTATAATTATGAGACGTGTACCATTATACAACCCCATGAACCTATCAATGTTCCACATTAAAATAATTGGGGTACCAACTTTTGGCCTTATTTTATAATTTGGGAGCCTAATATTATAATTAAATATAGAAGACCTATAGAGTGTAAGTCATCAAGTGAATTCATATCCCTATTATCTTTCACAACACTATCAAAACTCAAATATACAACCTCCTATCTAAGGATCATGGAGAACATGTATTTGTTTACTTCTTCAACTACAATCAACTTAAAGGTTAAAACAACACTATCTCTAAAACATGAAGAATTATAGACATTGTTAAGGAAATATAAGAAAGTCAAATCAGCAATAAACTTTATTAAATTATTTAAATCATCTAATAACAAATCATCTGGGATCTTAATGTGCACAGTTTCTTCATTAACTTCAGTAGCAATCCCATCATCAATTGAGATAATCTAGTTGGTAAAATCGTGAATAGCATTGTTAGATGTTTATTTGTTGCCATAAATCTTATGTTTCTTGTTAGTAAAAGAAGTTGACAATTATCCTAAATGTTTGAAGAGTTGACGGCAGCAAAAACAATGCCTTCTTCAGATCCACCTAGAATAACATGGAGGATTTGCCTAAAATTTCCACCAAACACAATAACTTTTCTTCCAAATGAAAGATTGGCAGCTAATAAGTTACTGAACTTGAGAAAATCTTTTAAGCATTTACCAAGAGCTTCAAAACAAAACTTGTGCGACATTGGAGACTCGTCCTATATAATTGATGACATGTGAACCAATAATTTAGCGAAGTTACTTCCTTATTTTATACTACATATAGTGTCTTCTATTATAGAAAGTGAAATACAAAATTATGAGTAAGTTGTTCGTTCTCCTAGAAGCAATAAAGAAGCTATCCTACTTGATGCTACATTAAAAGCAATTTTACCTTTAGATCATAATGAAGTAGAGAATGTCCTCCAAGCATACATATTTTCAGTTCCACCATACCCATAGAGGAAACAAGCTCCTCCTTTGTTAGATGTGACAATACTAATGATTTTATTATAAATTGTCCTTTGCTCAAGAGTTAATGTCTAAAGCAACCTTGCCAATTCAACAAATAATACAACTCTATCATAATTTAATTTGTTTATGCTCTCATTTGCATCCAAACTTGATATGTTAGATAAAAACATAGATTTATAATTTGTGAGACTTTTCCCATTAGAATGAAGTATTTTCTCAATCTCAATTAATATAAAGTTACATAAATCAGCCTCATCTAATTGTTATCCTGTGAAAAGAATATTGTTATATTAATAGTGTTGTTCGATAATTTATATAAATTCTATAGATATTATTAAATTGCTGAAAAAATAAAGAAGGCAAAGGCAAATGTAATTATTGCATATTGTGGTATCTAGTAATATTTTTTTTTCCTATTCATAATGTTATCTGATAAGAAGATTCATATACTATCCCATACAACCTTTGGTCGAGAAAAAGAATCACAAATAAGAGTAGTGTAAAACAATCTTCTTAGAAATTGTTCTGATGCTCACTAGCTTGCTTCTCTTATATTATTAATATATTCCTTGTCATTGTTTGGTAACCTCAGTGCATAATAGGCATCTCTAAAAGTAAGATAGATGACTTCATCAATAGTGCACATACTTTCATACAAAGTATAGCCTTTGACTATGATTAGTAGGATGTGCTAATAATACAATTTACCACTACTTAAAGGGGTATAATAAAATCTTCTGATTAAAAAATTCTACTTCCTAGGTTGCCACTCATATAGATATTTCTTATAAAAAAATTTAGTTAGGAATTCAGGACATGTTAAGTCCTTAGCCTCATTATTATTCTCATTATCATTAGCATAGAACTATACCTTAAGCATTATGATCTTTCATATACTGCGATTGACGGCTAAATCTATATTTTTCATTGTTTAATTATTCATTCCTTTCTCTTCTAATCTTCCTCACTTTGTTCCAGCATCTTTGTCCTTTTAGCACACTACTATTAATGAAGGAGTGAGTTTTGGATATCATCATGTTATTGGTTTTTAACTATTATATACACACATTTTTGTTTTTCAAAATCAAAGTGAAGAGCTCCAGAAAAATAAAATTTGTGCATGGTATTGTGATTGAATTTGCAGCAGTATCATGTGAAGTGATTTAAGAAAAAAATTGATTTTTCCCCTCCTTCCTCATCTTATTTTTACTTATTTAACCTTTTTTTCTTTAATTTCTTACTTAAAGATAATAAAATAATTAGTATTGTTGTTGTTGTTAATAAATTTTTAAAAAATAATATTTTAAAGCAAGCATAAATATAATTTTTTAAAAAAAATTGATGTGTTAATGGGCTGGGTTAAGGAAAACAGCTCACTAAAAAGCATGACTTTTCAACTTACACTTACTAACTTGTAACATATGAGTTGGCCCATTTTCTCAACTCTATTATTGATCAAAAGTTGTGCAAATCAATCTAGTGGCTCTCATTAAAATTGTAGTCATGTGTAAAAAAAAATCTAAATTAATTAATAGAAGATATGATTAAAATAATTAGATTTTATATTTTTTCGGTCCTATTTATAAGTTACTTTCAATATCTCTTATTGGAATCAAGAAAAACCTTAAAGATTATTAACTCTATCTAAAAATTTGACAAAGTTTTAACTTTGTTTATATTAAACATATATATTTTAATGATATGCTTTTTCTCTCTAACATTTAATGGAGGGTAAAAGAAGAAATATGTACTGAAAATTTAATAATGTAACTTATAAATATAATAAAATCTTCTCTCTCTATCATATAAATAGGATCAGAGGGAGCAAGAATTTACTTTTTAAATACTCTCTTCGTTAAAAAATATAAGATATTTTTAAAAAAGTTAGATATTAAAAAATGTAAAATATTTTTAGTTTTTTGAGGTGTAATAATTGCCTTTTTTCTAAAAGTGCCCCTATTGATAAATGATTTTATATTTATTGTATGGTGTTTAATAGGGGTAAATATAAAAAAAGATAGGGTTAGTTTGAAAATAAATAACTACTTTATTGGTGGGTGAGATTTAATTAAAAATGTCTCATATTTTTAAACGGAGGAAGTATGTACATTTTTTTATTATTTGATATCTAATTATATAATGGTAGAATAATATAGTCCAAAATTTTTATTTAGATTATAAATGGGATTGAAATCCCACTAAGAAATATTTAGATTTTTATTATATTCAAATTTAAATTAATATGAAAATATTATCTATTTTACTCATTTAATTTTTGAATAATTAAATTTTATATAAT